TGTTAATGTGTGCATGGGCGTCGTGTACCTGGAGTTGAGTGTTACACAAGTAAAAACGGCCGCAATTTTCCTTGTGAGTATTTATTACATGGCGTGTTCTAAGGTCTATTTTTTAGCACTTGACGGCTCTTTTTAGCAGCTCATCCGTAAACACTCTGTTATATTAAATATAAGATAAAGAGAGAACTTTAAGAAATTCTACAGTGACCATCAAAACGATGAAAAAATATTTTGCGACACCACGAAACAAACGATAGCGTAAAATGAAACGATAGACGTTTTCATATCGTCATCCAATATTTATCATTATATTGAACAGCCCTAGCAGGAATTATACTTTACATGTCCGCAAGTCAACTAGTGATGTAAATTTCATCAATGTACTGTTAGCGCGAGGGCCCCTGTAGATGTCCGTGTGCCAGCCGGTTTCTTTTGCCCGTGTGAACTCGCACGCAGAGAATTTACATTACAATGCACCAACTACGCAGGCTCCCCAGGTGGCGGAGTTTAAGTGTATGTCAAAGTATAACGGGAATGATTATTCTGCCATCGGGTCCCTAGCTGTCCATGTCTGCAACAGAGTATAATCTAGGTTTAAGATTCCATAAAGTTGCCGAGCAACGATGTAGCAACCAGATAAAAAAATACCCATTTTTTAATCCTTTATGCATCTACACCACCTTAAGGAAATGATCCTATTGTTTTAGTTTCAGGATAACATCTCTTTTCTATCCACAAAAGCTAAATTATACATGATATAACATTGCCCTGTTGCTGATAACCCACTTAGCAAAGGTCTAAAATGGCCCATTACTTGTATGCATGCATCTATAACACCTTATAGAAGCATTTTAATTGTATTTTCACAGCCAACAGAATGAATTGGCAAAGCAATATACCAGCATGTGGACATACTAAAAGCTACTTTTAGCTACTTGCTTTTTACAAGAGGGCTCCACGGTGGGTAGCTCCATACGTTTCATCTGTCAGATTTTCTCTTTGTTTTTATATTGCCATTCCAGAGACAAAACCTTGGGATCAGCACAAGGATTTCTCACTTGTGAGATGACTGTTCAGACCACTACGCTACAAAGCCACTCAAAGGTGTACGAGTAACAATAGTACATTTAACCAAGTAGTATTGTTAATGTTGACTACGCAACGACCCTGGTTGACTGGCCACATGCAAGCCCAAGTCCACAGGCAACAAAAGTTGAATAAACAATGGAAATACAAGGAAAACCTTCACAACGGAAATTTTTTCGGGGGAGACAATCGCACATCGCAGGTTTTCCTAATATCGTGCAGCCCTACAGCACAGTCGTCCTAACAGCAGGGTCGTACTAACAGCAGAGTCGTACTAACAGCAGAGTCGTACTAACAGCAGAGTCGTACTAACAGCAGAGTCGTACTAACAGCATTATAAAAATCATGCAATCAAAATGCACATTACTTTGCATCTTTTTCCCCACAACACCAATAAATCCCGTTTCTTTAAGCGTATTTAGTTTGTTTTAGTTTCTGCTGCTGTTCCGTCACATTAACGTCTCCCCAAAAGCACTTCGTAGTGCTCTAGTCAACTTCTAGTCAAACTTTAGTTATGTACACACTGGAAGCGATTTGCAGTGATGTGGTGACCAGAGACTATAGAATGTGAATGACATTTTTGATTTGATGAAGCAACTATGGGCAAAATAACTGCGGGCAAGGGGGGAATGGGCGCGACCTGAGATCAACAGTTCTCAACTTCCAGATGAGTAACTGAAGCAACCGACTGATGTATGACCTGGTAGTGGGTCACCTAGGCACCAGAGCCTGGAATGTCTACAACTGACCAGCCATCAGCTTCAAAGCAATGTGCGACGAGTGAATAGCTTTCGGTGTCTATGCAGCTTTAAAAAAGGGGTAATCCAGGTTCATCTGATTTGTGTTGTTTGTGGTGTCTACATGTACTCAAGCTTAAAGTACTTTTAAATTTTTTTTTTTAATTTTAAGGGTTATTGCAAATTTTTGTTGGGAAGGCCACCAAGTTTTTTTTCCTTTAAAGTTTTTTTGCTTGGCCCCCCTCCAAAAGAACTGGTTATAATGTGAAAACAATCATACTGAGACAGTGAAATACATTCAGTATGTTTTTGCTCATGTCAGCTCCAAACTAGATTAAATTGACCTATATTAGTATATTTTGAGAAAAAAAAATGCATTGGGCTGCTGTGGAAGTATTTGAGTACACAACTTTAGTGGGTAAGATATTCAGGTGGGGTTTATAATTCACGGGGGTTGGAGGGGGGCACAGTAGTAGTTATAGAGTAAAGTCCAGTTTGCACAATATAAGTGTTTTTAGTTAAGCCTGCAGCAAAGAGCGAGCTCCATGTGATCAACTTATTGATAGCTTGCTCCAGTGACCATGTCTGCAACGGTCACAAAAAGACACCGGACAGCATCTCTGACGAAACTGCATTTTATTTTAATTATTATTTTTCAAGGAGCAGTGGAAAAATCCAGTGTACATAACAGGAGTAGTGGAGGGGGGCTTATTTCAACAGATGACGTTACGTTACATGGCCTAACTCCAACGCTGCGTGCGAGGACACACTACCACAAACGCTAGCTAGCTAACACGAGCTGTAGTAACTTGCTCGCTTGTGTTTTTATGTCCAACACACGCCACACGTTTCACAAGGAAGAGTTAATAAATTACAAGCGTAACAAACGAGGTAGTTTAATCGTTGGTGATGCATTCAGTTACTCACTAATCTTTGATGATGCCTCTTTAAAGCTGTCTCACTGAAGCTAACTTAACATTGTAATCTAACAAGTTAGCCCGTAGAGAGAGTTTAGCCGTATTGGGCTTCAAGTCTTGACTAAATGTTAGCTTCAGTCACGTGGTGTCGAGCTGCAGGGTATTCAACTTGTGTTAGTCAGCTAGCAAGCCAAGCTAACTGCAACTTCTGAGAGTTGACAACAGGTTGCAGTGGACTCACTTAACTTCCTAAAGTAGCACAAACTTCGACACCTCAATAAGCCGTCGTGTCTTGTGACAAACGTGTCTTTATGGGTCGTTTTCACCGCGTTGACGCTGAATAAAAGCGTTTTCTGCTCTCTATAAACTCTAATCTGTCCGCTCAGCTATGCCGTCTCGGCTATTTAATGTTAGCTTGCCAGCTCGCAGTGTGCAAAAGGGGTGTTTATAGTTTAGGATCTGGGATGCCCCAACCAAAGTCTCGGTCTGCTCCGCCCGCAAACACGTTGTCTACGGTGCGAAAGCGTCTCTCCCGTGTTCGCTGAAGAGCCATTTACCTGTCGGACCCGGCGTATCGTGTCTGCGAAGTCATCTTTCGTTCCGGGCTGAGCCACCGAGGCCTGTCCCTGAACCAGCTCCGCCATCATCATCATCCGCCTCGGCAGCTGAGAGCCGCACTTAAAAAAAAAAGCACACGTGCCAAACCAAAGCACCGCGAGCCAGATGATCTCGCGAGTTGACCGTAGAACACATGGCATGTAGGACATAGGTAAGAAAAACACAGTCATTACAACTATAGAGGAGAATTGTACTGCACACATTAATGATATTATATATTTGAAAGATCATATGTACTTAGTCAAAAAATTATTTTGTGTATTTCTTTATTCAGTCGAATTCTCTCTCTCTCTCTCTCTCTCTCTC